GACGAACCCTGTTGAAATTGGAGATAATCGGTCAAAATTTAGATATAGCTCCCATATATATCTTCGTCCGATTTGCCTTTTATTGTGCACCAAACGTGTAATATCAGCCCGAATAGTATGGAATTTTGCACATACAACCAAATTAGGCCTGAAAATAAGTATGCCAAATTTGATCGAAATCGGTTCAGATATAGCTCCCACATATATTGTTTATCCGATTTGTTATTTTTGTCCACTGCCGCCGTAGTATGCACTCTGCAACAAAAATATTTGGGGAAATATATCAAATACAGCTCAGAAATACATTTGCTAATTTTTATCGAGATCGGTTCAGAATTGGATATAGCTCCCATATATAACTTCGTCCGATTTACCTTTTATTGTGCACCAAACGTCTAATATTTGCCCAAATGGGATGGAATTTGGCACATACGACCGAACTGAGTCTAGAAGCTAGTATGCCAAATTTGGTGAAGATCGGTTCAGATATAGCTATAGCTCCCATATATATTGTTCATCCGAATTCTAGTATTTGTTACCCACAGCCGTAATATGCACTCCGTAACAACGATATTTCAGGATATATATCATAATTTTGCACCAAATGGGCAATACAAGACCGAATTTAAAAAAAACAAATGCTTCGGCATATTTTGTCCTTTGAACTTTAAATTATAATTATAATCATAGCGTGTATGATTGAATTCTCTACTAAATTAGCAAAGTGGTGTAGGGTATCATAAAGTCGGCCCCGCCCGACTTTAGGACTTTCTTTACTGGTTCAATTTTGTTTTTCGATATCATTAAGGGAAATCGTTTATCCTAGTAAAAATGTTATAGTTCTTGCAGTTCTAAAACAAACCAACAATAGTGTCAACATTACTAAATAGATTGTTGTAAAAAATTGTCCTCTTTAGCAAGCTTATATAGAAGGAATTTGAATTTGAAGGACAAATTTCACATAATTTTTTGAAGGACAAATTTCACATAATTTTTTTATACCCTACACCGCATAGTGGTAAGGATATTATGTCTTTGTGCATTTGTTTGTAACATGGATAAGGAACCGAGCAATAGTTACTTTTGACGATCTTCATAGAATCACTTTCTATGTCGATATATGCATGTCAGTCCGTCCGTCTGTCCATGTATCCTTATGAAAAAATGCGGGTCGCATTTATTGTCGGATTCAGATAATATTTTCCAAACAATACAGGGCGAGATGAAAAAACTGCAACCAACTTCAGATTGCTGTCATTTCTAAGCGACTCGTCCGACAGCTTAGTCCAGTGACAGCTCTTAATATTGTTTACAAGCGTATAAAAGCATTTTGTTGAGAATTTTCCAGAAAAAAAGTTATTCGTCATGGAATTCAAGCGTGATAGTGTGATTACTTTATATTTGGCTGGAAAACCACAAGTGGCTATCGTTAGAGTACTCCAGCATTTAGATGTGTATAAATCTTTTGTGTCTCATACCATAGCTCGTTACCGTGATACTGGTAGCGTAGCCCGAGGTCAAAGAAGTGGACGGAAAAAAACAGCAACATCAGCTGAAATGGTTCGAAATGTAAAGAAGCGACTTGATCGAAACCCGCGTCGCAGTGGCCGAAAAATTATTCCATTCGGCAAATATTGAAAAATGATCTCAGGGTAAAGCCATCGAAATTCCAAAAAGTGCAAGAACTTACACCACAACAGAAGAGCTAAAGAGTAGCTTCGCTTTGCCGAAAGTGGTGAACTGACGATTTTTCTTTTCTCCGATTGGAAAACATTCGTTGTTTAGCAGATTGTAAACAAACAAAATGATCGTGTTTACTTGCCAAAGAGGTCAGCTGAAAATGTGCACCTTCTGTTGGCCACCAGAACTCAAGCGCCGGTCATGGTGATGGTGTGGGCCGCCATAACAGCCGATGGTCGCTGTCCGCTCGTATTAATCGCGAAAATATTCGGGATGGCGTATTAAAGCCGTGGGCACGCAAACATTTTGACCGCAGACCTTGGACATTCCAACAGGACTCAGCACGCGCTACCCAAGAATGGTTACAAAATAAGGTTCCCCGCTTCGTTTCCAGCGCACAATGGCCACCAAAATCTCCGGAAACCAATCCGTTGGACTATTGGTCGGGAGTATTTTGGAAAGCAAGGTTGGCACTAAAAAATACCAAAGTATCGATCATCTCAAGCGAGCGCTTCGCTGGGTATGGGCCAAAATACCGCAGAGCAACATTCGGACAGTTTTATTGGCCGTTTGAAGGCCATAACTCGTGCCAAAGATGACCAATTTGAACAAATCTAAACTTATACTAAGATTTGATGCCATTTCCAACATTTTTTGCTTTCTTCAATAAAATTAAAAAAAAATATAAGAATTATAGCATTTAGCTTTGTTGCAGTTTTTTTTTTATCTCAACCTGTATGTAAATTATCGGAATTTATGATTTCGCATAAAATTTTATTTCCTTTAAATTTTGCACATACCAATATTTTTTTCTGTATAGATGAAGTATGAAAAATGTATACTTCGGTCCACTATATCTTTCAACTCACGGATATTTCCACATTTTCCAAAAGATTTGCACATATTTCATAGTCGATATAGTCCAAATCTGGAGCGTTATAATATTGATATCAGTCTTAGGTCAGATAAGAATTGGTCAACATTGGCCAACAGCTTCGGAACCTCCCTCATAAAGGGTCAACAGTTTGAATAATCATAACTCAAGGCTGGGGGTATACATCTGTCGGCAAAACCGACTGATACTACTACTTGTTTCTCGTAGATTTTACTGGTAGTTTGTATTTTTGTTTATTGACAACCATTCTTACTTGCAATTCCGAACAAGACCCTTTGTGAGTTTTTTTGCGGACCATCTGAATACAACACATGGCAAAAGACATTCATATGATGAATATATACTATATGTATACACTGGTGGCCAAAACTAAAGCAACTGAAATTACAAGGAGAATGAATGCCCTGTAACTTTTTCAAAAATTAAGAAAATGAGAAAGTTTTTCTTGTTTTAAATTAGGTACTTTATTCACTTTTTAAAACCCTAAAACATAAAACCAAAATTCATTTTTATATAAAAAATAATGTTTGGTAAAGTCAATTAACCCGATTTTGGCTTGGACAAAACAAAAGCAACTATGTTGTACATTCATATAACCGCTGCAATTTCAGTTGTTTTTACTGTGATATTTATCGCTTTTTGCTTCCTTTGACACTTTCGCTTGTCATAAATCCTTTTTGAGAAGTTTTTTACAACAGTATGTGTTTTTCTTTTCGTTTTTTAAGTACTGCCCAAAAAAATTTAAAAATGGCTAAAAGCAAATATAGTACCTGAATAAAACAGCAAATTATCATTGACTATCAAAACAACATATCACAGAAAATGATTTCCGAGAAATATTTATGTGATTTCATAATTATTTCTGTATACTAAGTCGGTTTTTTGAAACTGGATCAGTAGTAACAGTCTATAACGGATGAAGGCCGTGAAAAACTTCAGCCCGTACTGATCCACAAATTGTGAGAGAAATAAAAAACAACTATTTAAGAGTTCAACTGGATTTGTGAGAGAGCAATCATTGGATATAAGCTCGAGATCAGTGCGTAGACGAGTAGTGGCAGCTGGTCTGCATGCCCGTAAGACATCAAAAAACCATTTATATCTGAAAAATCAAAAAGGCTTTCGGAAACGATAATATTAAGTGGAATCAAGCTCAATGGAAAAAAACATTATTTCTCGGATGAGTCTACGTTTAATATTAAAGGCTCAGACGTCAAAAATTTTACGGTGAGAAGACCAAAAAATGAAGGACTCAAGCCGCAGTGTTGCAAAGATACAGTGAAGCATGAGGGAGGGTCAAAAATGGCGTGGCACTGTTTTTCTTTCTATGGACTTGGGCCTATCCATAAAATAAAGGAAGTTGTGGATCGGTTTGTTTACAAAGATGTGTTGGACATCACGTTGTTCCCTTACGCTGAGTAAAATATTCGGCTGATTTGGGTGTTTCAGCATGACAATGATCCCAAACTTGTATCAAAACTTGTCAAATATTGGTTGCGGGAGTCAAAAATTGATGTTTTGTTATGGCCGGCACAATCGCCTGACCTAAACTCCTTAGAAAACCTTTGGAGTATCGTAGATAGGAAGATCAAGAGAGATTCGGAAATAAATAAGCACAACATTTTCTAAAGAATTCGGGGTGCCTGGGAAAGCACACCCAAGGATCAAATTGAGCGTGTTATAGATTCAATGACTCGTAGGTGTGCAGCTGCTATCAAAAATAATGGTTATGCTATCGACTACTAGCCAAAATTTAATTATTTTAAAATAAAAAATCAAAAGTTGCTTTAGTTTTGACCAAGCAAAAATTGGGTCATTTTAGTTTTCCACATATTATTTTTCGTTCAAAATTATTTTTGTATTTTTATTTTTAGTTTCTCATTTAAAACTGAAAAATAATTACGATTTGTTTATTTTTGTAAAAGTTACAGGACATTTATTGTCTTAGCGATTTAAGTTGCTTTAGTTTTGGCCACCAGTGTATGTAATATTTACTTTTGTCACTTGTCTGAATTTCCTTATGGCATGTCTACGTAAATTTGCAAAGTGCTTTTCCTATATACATATGTGGCACACCGGCCTTTTTTCAGCAGTATTGTATCAAAATTAATTGCATGTGGCATTTTTGTACATGTGCCAAATTATTTAATATTTATTTGTAATATACATATGTATTTATATATACATATAATTATTTTCTATTAATATTACAACATATTATTAGGCAATAGACATAATATAAACATTTCAAGCAGACATTTTGTCTGTGACTAGACAACCACATAATGAATGAAATTTACTTTGAAATGCCGGAGGTTTAATGACCTACATTTGTGATTATTATACATTTTTGTTTTTGCAAATAAATTCACTGAAGAAAATAATTAATATATGTTTTTTTTTTTCGTTTGTTTTCTTTTTCCAGCAGAATCTCAATTTGTTTTCAGCACCAAAGCTGAAGCATTAAAAGTACTCAAAAAACACAAAGATGCCCGACTCAAGGAGTTCATAAATGAGGATGAAGCCATGAAATATGCCCAAACTGGTTACGAAATTGTTCAACAGAAATACAATGATGTTAGAAGTAAGTTCATTGATCTTTATATTTTATAAAAGGATATTTATTTAAAAATTATTTAAATTTGCATTTTTTTATTAATGCATTTTTTATTATACATGGAGATATTATTTTTTCACTTCAGACAAAGACATTCATTCACCGGAATGAAAACAAAATTTTAAGAAATTGCGTTTTGGGCTTATTTGATTTGCAATTATTTACAATACTGCGTTGTATAAACGTGTTTTCGTTTACTGACTGAAAGTACACGGCGCTATGTAGGAGTAGCAACTGATAGGGAGTAAAATTTATTTAGGTTTCTGTGAAAGTTCTCTGCGCTCTCTAGAAAACGAGCATTTCAAAGAGATTTTAATTCTTCTATAAAAGTGTCGGTCGGTTTTGCCGACAGATTTATACCCCCTACCTTGAGTTAGGATTATGCAAACTGATTACCCTTTCTGGGGAAGGTTACGAAGCAGTTGGGCAATATTGACCAATTTGTATAGGACCCAAGACCGGTAAAAATATTACAACGTGCCGTAATTTCTATACCTTATATGAGATATGTGCAATTTTTAGGAAAGTGTGGAAATATGCGTCTGGACCGAAGTATTCCAGTTTTATTTCAGATAAAACATTGGTATGTGCAAAATTACAAGAAAATAGATTATTTACAGGGCGAAATAAAAAACTGCAAAAAAGTTACACACCATATTTTTTACATTTTTATACCCTACCCCACATAGTGGTAAGGGTATTATGTCTTTGTGCATTTGTTTGTAACAGGCAAGAGGAAACGAGATAGAGCCATAGTTACTTTTGAGTATCTCCATAGAATCACTTTCTGAGTTGATTTATGCATGTCAGTCCGTCTGTACGTCCGTCCGTCCATCTGTCCATGTATTCTTGTGAACAAAATGCAGGTCGCATTTATTATCCGATTAAGATTAAATTTTGCACAAATCATTGGTTTGGCCCAAGGACGAACCCTATTAAAATTGGAGATAATCGGTAATTAAATTTAATTTTAGATATAGCTCCCATATATACCTTCGTCCGATTTGCTTTTTATTGTGCACCAAACCTGTAATATTAGCCCGAATAGTATGGAATTTTGCACATACAACCAAATTAGGCTTGAAAATAAGTATGCAAAATTTGTTCGAAATCGGTTCAGATATAGCTATAGCTCCCATATATATTGTTCATCGGATTTGTTGTATTTGTTATCCACAGCCGTAATATGCACTCCGTAACAACGATATTCAGGGAAATATATTAAATACAGCTCAGAAATATCTTCGCCAAATTTTATGGAGATCGGTTCAGATTTGGATATAGCTCCCATATATAACTTCGTCCGATTTACCTTTTATTGTGCACCAAACGTCTAATATTTGCCCAAATGGGATTGGCACATACGACCGAACTGAGTCTAGAAGCTAGTATGCCAAATTTGGTGAAGATCGGTTTAGATATAGCTATAGCTCCCATATATATTGTTCATCCGATTTGTTGTATTTGTTACCCACAGCCATAATATGCACTCCGTAACAACGATATTCGTGGAAATATATCAAATGCAGCTCAGAAATACCTTTGCTAAATTTTATCCAGATCGGTTCAGATTTGGATATAGCTCCCATATATAACTTCGTCCGATTTACCTTTTATTGTGCACCAAACTTCTAATATTTGCCCAAATTTGATAGAATTTGGCACATACAACCGAACTGAGTCTAGAAGCTAGTATGCCAAAATTGGTGAAGATCGGTTCAGATATAGCTATAGCTCCCATATATATTGTTCATCCGATTTGTTGTATTTGTTACCCACAGCCATAGTTTGCACTCCGTTACAACGATATTCAGGGAAATATATCAAATACCGCTCAGAAATATCTTTGCCAAATTTTATCGAGATCGGTTCAGATTTGGGTATAGCCCCCATATATATCTTTATATGATTTCAAATTAATTTTGCACCAAATGGGCAATACCATTCCGAATTTAAAAGATACAACGGATTGGTATCAGGAGATTTTGGTGGCAATTGTGCGCTGGAAGTTAAGCGAGGAACCTCATTTTGTAACCATTCTTAGCACTGATGCAAATATTAGGATTCGCAAAATCGGACTATCCTTTCTCTTTCTGTGCAGTGTTGAAGCAGCTTCCGTTTCGCGTGACTTTTTCATGTCTCCTATTTTCTTTTACAGATATCTTTCACAAGACTTATTGTTATAGAAGAACTTTAATAGTTTTTAAAAGATTTTAAATTTTAAAAGTTTAATTCATATATAAGTCTTATTTTCCATATTTATCCATCCATACTTGAAATATGCAAATCTCGCTGAAATGCGACTAAATTCTTGTTCTTGGATTTCACATTACAGCCTCTACAACAGCGCTGGAGACGCCGGCATTTCGAGGGCCCACAAAACAGGAGTTGGCACGTTTTCGCAAATGCATTGAATCGGATGAATATGAACGAGTCAAACAAATCATATGGGATAATCCGCGATATCTTGTCAGTTCGGGTGATACACCGACCTCGTTGAAAGAAGGCTGTCGCTATAACGCCATGCATATTTGTGCGATTTCAAATCGCCCTAAAATAGCCAAACTTATTCTCAGCACAGTCTCGGATACAAAATTTGTCGATCTATTGACGGGCAAAAAGAACGATCAGAAAATGTGTCAGGAACTGTGCGCCAACCTATTGGACTATTATTTGAATATACCGGAGAAGGGTAGAAGTGAGACGCCATTGCATTTTGCTGCCAAATACGGGTTTCCTGAAATGGTGGAACTATTGACATCATATCCAGAATGTAAAATGACACCAAATATTGAGGGTAATTTGCCCCAACATGTGAGTTGTGTGAATTTTTGGGTGGGTGTTTTGAAATTCATAAAATGTTGTTGTTTCGATGTTATGTAGATTATTTGTACCCGTGGCATACCGGCCCATGATGTTTATCCAAAAATCAAAAGTCTGTTTGAGGAGCGTTTCTATGTGCCTGTCCTGCGCTGTAGTGATGCCTCAATTCCTGCCCAAATTGGAGAGCCATTTTCAGTTAACAACCCACCAGTAAGTCAAATATATGCTTTTATGTGCCAACTTATTTTATTTTCTCCTCTTGCAGAACCTAAACTGTGATCCCTTAAGTCCAGAAGTGGAAATAAAAGCATTGGCTGGACCCATGAGCAAAGATCAGGCAAAGGTACGTAAAGGTTGCGATATTGAAATTGGGATAGAAACGTTTAAACAGCAATTTTTTCGATATTTTAGAAATTTTTTCGACGCTGGAAAACACCACCTCGTTTGGGCAGCAATGTGTCATCACCCATTGCCAATAGTCCATTTATATCACCTATGAAATCCCGCAGAAGTCTACCATCCACTCCAGCAGGTGGTAACAGTGCAACAAATTCTCCCACTGCCATGTTACAGCGTCGTTCGCTTTTCAATTCAACGCCACAGCGTAAAGATCGTACGAATGGGGCCAATGATTCCAATGGTTTTGCGGATCATTCCATAATTCTAGATGATTCATTTGAAGACCATCAGAATGGTAATGGCGGCAGCGACAATGATAAGGAAAACGGTCAAACATCAATGAATAAAATCGAAACCAATAACAATAATGGTCGCCTCGAGTCAAAGCTAAAGATTGGTCTGTGTCCCGGTACACCGCTATTTAAAATAAAACGAGATGCCTTCTTTACATATCGCGAACAGCAACAAATGGCTTCACCCATGCCAGCTTGTCTAGATGGGCAAAATGATACCGTCGACTATTTCAATTGTTCCGACATTTACGACAGTCCCGGTTTTAAAGAGCGTCATGTAAAAAATACCGATCCCGATAAGGGTATTGAATGCATTGGCCGCAATCTGGCCAAGGAGCAAAATGTTGAGTGGCGTGAATATTGGGATTTTCTAGACGAATTCATAGATATTGCCTCGGAGAAAGGTATTAAGAAACTAGAAAGTTATTTAGCACAAAAACAGGCGGAATATGAAGCAGAAGTGAATAAGAAAAAACGTAACAACTCGGAAATGTTGGAAGAGGTTTGTTCGGCTTTGGAGAAATTTGGTTTTGGTGTTAACACTGGTGCATCGGATGGCCATGGGCGTAATGGCATGAATCAAAATGGCTTTCGTAATGCCGGAACAACAGCGGTCTCCTCCACCAATCTAAATGCTTCTACCGCCCACCAGTCATCAACACCCTATACCTATGTGGAGAAATCATTGCAGGTCCATGCCCGTCGCATGACCAAGACCATTGTTCATAATATAGATAATGTTGTGTCCATAAATGATGCCTTACTGCTGGAATTGAGACGTGTCAAATCGCTTATATACAGCTTCAAAGAGGATGCCAGTTTTGTCAATGTCAGTTTTGAAAAAGTTCATTCACGTATTGGCAATTTGGTGGCAACGTTTTTGGAAAATTCCCAAGAAATCACCATTGAAATGAAGGCAAAAATATTAAAGATTTTACAAAATCTCCTCTTGACACCGGGAGATAGGCGCGAACACATTGAGTGTGTGTGTTCACGTATACTTCACAAATTGGAAAATCCAGGTAAGCCATAGCAGCGGCTGATTAGACATCAAAAAAGAAATATTTAAATGGAAATGCTTTTTTATCCTAGTGGAGCAAATCTTACCGGAAAACTTGAAAACCGAAGAAATGTGTTCAAAGGTATGGTCTCAAGAAAACGCCTGCGATTGCCAGTGGGAGAGTAATTTGAGTCGCAAAACGAGTCATCGCAATCGCATGGAGGCTCGCTATAAAAATCATCAGCGTATGAAGCAACAGGAAAGGGCAGCAAAACAAACCCAAATGCAGGGCAATGACAAAAACAATCGAGACTATCGTAATCCTAAAGATGATAATGATTCATCCGATGATAATAATGAGGATGTATTTTGGGTAAATGTTTTTTGTTTTTCTTAAATGCAATTTTAAAAATATTTAATTTGTGTTTTTTGCTTTCATTTTTAGTCGGATTTTGGTTCTGATAGTGAAGAGGAAGAAATATTTCAAACACCACCTGAAAGTCCCTCACGTTTAAGTTTAATGCAGGACGCAGAGGATGATGGCTATAAGATATTTATTTATGGGTAAGTGCAGCAGACTTAAAGCATTTTTGGTATAAAATATTGACTTTTTATTTTTTGTAGAAATGAACCAACAAAACGTGATTTGGATGTCATAAATGCTATTTTCCATGTTGAGCTGGATAAAAATAAATATCCAACAATCCATTCCTGGAAATCAGCTCTCATGCGTTACACCAATGAAGAAATGGACTTGTAAGTATTGGACATATTTAAATAAAAAAGGACTTTATTAGGAAAATCTATTGAAGGTCTATTAGAGTCATAAATGTAGATTGTTAAAACATATTTATTGGAGTTGGTTCCACTATAGGATGAACACAATGGACCAGAAGGTCTCCGGGTGGAGCGGTTACCATAAGGCATCCATTAACCTAACCTATTTATTGGTGGTTAATCAATTAATATTTTATCAAGAATAGTAGAGCAATAATCATTGACTTTTTGGGAAAATAGTTGAAGGACCATTCAAGGTAGAAACTTGTGATTTTGGAAGGTCTACCTGAGGTAGAAATCTGAGATTCTTTACACTATTTGTAGGAACACTATTTTAAACAAACAATTTTTTAAGAGTATTATTTGTAGAACTGAAGAAAAGAAGAAGAATACTTTGTATTAAACAAACGGAATGAGCTAAAATTCTGAAATTTAGAATGAGAGTCACTGATGGAGTGCAGGATAGATGTACCAAAAGGCTTTGGCAAAATCGAAATTTAAGTTTACGAAAAGTTCTTAAATGGTAATGGTACTAAACTTCTAAAATGGTACCATTTGATATTATGTGATCGGATAGAACTAAACACTTGGTATTAGAATCTATTTTGGGAAATAAGTTCGATATATGAAGGTGGTTTTGAAAATGTGTACTACTAAGTGTCCGAACTTAACTAAGTGGTACTTAATTTGGGACTGTTTGGCTTTGGAAATGTGAACTACAATAGTACGAAAAGTGAAGGAATTGAACAGAAATCTTAAAATTTAATATAAATGTCACTGTTGGTATATGTGTATGAGATATGGAGGCGGATTTGGAAATGTGTGCTATACGGTTTCGAAAAGTACTAAGTGGTACTAAATTGGGTATTGGATGAAGTGTTAGAGCTGGAATCCTGTGATCTGATATTAAGGTCTCTGTGGGTATGGATGTCACTGTTGATGTCTGTATTTGAGAGAAGGAGGTGGTTTTAGAAATGCGTACTATGAACGTACGAAAAGTGCAAATTGCCACAAAATGTGACGTTAGGTGTTGGACTGGAGATGGAATTCTGAAATTTGGTATCGTGGTCATTTTTGTTTTCTACGATTTTCTATGGAGACGTTGAAATAGTTTGGGACAGAAAAAATTGGATTTTTGAGACTTATTCTTTCCAAAAAAAACTTTAAAAATATATAAAATTGAAAATGGGCCTTTGGATCCACATTTTGATATAGCCCCCATATAATGGTACCTCCTTTTTTGTATTTTGGTGATTTAAGCGACATTATTCACCGGAAATGTTTCAAATATGGTATTTGAAGTTCAAAATGAATACTACTGTCTATGACAGAAAATTGCCCCCATCTAACGGCACCTCCCGATATTCAGTATTTTTACGATTTTAGCGACTTTATTCACCGGAATTGTTTCAAATTTAGTATATGAAGTTCGTAGAGGATACTACATCCTATGACAAAAAAGTGCAGGTCCATGTTTTGGTATAGCCCACAAGGTACCTCCCTATATTCGGTATTTTGATGAATTTAGCTACATTATTTACCTTTTTTTATGTTTCGCATTTGAATATTTTAATGGCTTATGACAAAAGTTGCCTATGCAGGTCCACGTCATCGTATAGACCCTAATGTAAAGGCTATATTCGGTATTTTTAAGATTTTAACAGAATTTTTATCGGATTTTTTTTTAAAAATTGCAAAATTCTGAGGATATTCAAAGTTCGGCCCGGCCGAACTTACAGCTTCTTTACTTGTTTTTTCCCCAAAGCAGTTTATGAAAGTAGAGCAAAAAATAGAAGACACATATATCAGCGTTTTGAGACCTTAGAACAAATTGTAATTTAAATAGAGGTGACCAGTCCTCCCTTCTTCCATATATTTTTTAAATTCCTGATTTAAAATCTCTTGAAATTCTTAAATTTTAGGCATAGAGCGTCTTCGGCAATATTAATGATAATAATTATTATTTTATTATATTAGATTATTTTGGTCGATGATTTTAACTCCAAAAAGTTTCTTTGGTCCTTTTTTTAATCTAAACAAATTTAAAAAATTTAAAAGAAAATCACCCTCTAAACAAGATCGTAACAAACCAAAATATTCTTGAAAACTAAAAACTGTAAATCTATCTAAATGCCAGGATTTAAAAAATATTTAAAATCAAATTTTAAGGGTTAAGTTTTACTTCGTGAAATTTTTGAATAAATTGTTGTTCTATTTCTTAACTTAATTTCCTTTTATGTTTTGCAGCTTCCCATCGCCCAGAGTTGTTAAGAAAACTCATACATTCTCGATCCAAAATAAAACCGATACATCAATAGCGCCGCAAACGCCACCGCCGCCAACATCACATCTAGACAATAAGACACAATCATTTATGCGTTTAAATATAAATGCTTCACTAAATATGGGTTCCCCCAGACAACCACTGCAGCAACAACAGCAACCTACATTACAATCAGGTACACAGGCTATTATTCGAGAGCCAATACTACAACTGCCCACAGCAAAACGTTTATTTGCATCGCCAGGAAGACCAAACAAATCAGGAACTGCCACCAAACTAAATGTGAAAGAAACAACTACATCCACAGCGTTAACAAATTCCTCCGCCACCAACACCACCACCACCATCAATTCACCTACATCCAATGCAAATGAAGATTCTCAAAATAAGTCAACACCAGAAAAAAATGTTGCTGCCGCCCCACGTTCACTGGTTAGTGAATTCCAAAGGCCATTGACTCCATTGAATAAAATTCGTGGACTCTTTAGTGCCTATCGTGATCGTTTTGAAAGTAGCCCTCTGCCATCACCAATGACTGAACGCAACAGCAAGGAAGGTGCCAATAGTCTATCGTTGTTAAATATTTCCAGTACAACAGATTATTGAGCTATGCCCCATCTCCCAACAAAATGGAGATTCATCATACACAATACAATCTAAGGTTATACAAATTAATACGTTTGGAAATGAAAGAAAAAAGAAAACACTCATTATTTTTAAAACGCTTTTAGTTGGACAAAAAACACAACAACAATAAATTGTTCCATTAACAATATATATCATTTAAAACTAATCATTTCATGTCCATTTTTCTCTCTAGTATTAGTTATTCTTATTATTTTATTTTCTAATTTTATGTTTTGCCGTTACTCACACTTTTGTTGTCTTTCGTCATTCGAAAAGAAAAAAAAAATACACATAATATATTTTTTTATTAACTTTCTATTCTTCTTCTTTAACCATTTTAGTGTTCACATGCTAGCAATGCAATAATTAAATTGTAATCTACTCATTCTTATAATTTACGACCACCCCACACCCCATTCTCTCTAATTTTATGTTTGTTTATATTATTTTGATATGAAGCCAAATATACATCCATGCGAAGTTTGCAATTATAAAAAAAAGAGAATCGAAATGCATTATTTTTATTAAAAAGTATTTATCACAATCATTTTGAGTGAATTTAAGTCAAGCAGCACTGGTTTACTTTTATTTGTAATTTGTCATCTATTTCCCTACAAACATTTTCTTCTTCACAAATTGTAGCTACCAAATCTTAAAGATTGTACCAGCCATTATTTATGATTCTAAATGCCTGATTCGAATTTATGAAAATGCCATGCCCTTGTTATGAAAACATTGTTGAAGGATGTTCAAGCGGACGCGATCTAAACCCCCTTTTATGTTTTATGTTGATGTAAATCTTTAAATCTTACGTATCAAATATCCATTGACTTATTAAGATATTTTCATGGAATTGTTCCTAACACACCACCAAGACGCTTTGTAAAACCGATTTCTTTTACAGAATGTCTCAAAATGTCATAGACATAAGTTATATTCTTAAGGTCTTCTAAAATCAGGCAATGACCAGCAGAGCAATAATCGTTGATTTTTAGGAACATTATTGAAGGACCATTCGAGATATAAACTTAACATTTCAGAGTGACTATCTGAGTTACTTTTGGAAGAACTACCATTAGAACTAGAAGAGTGAAGTATTTAAGATTATTTTTGGAAATGAAAATTTAAAAGAATTTAAATTGAAGAAATATAGGATTTTTGAAAGCGTTTTTGAAACATTACCAGAATATCTCAAAATTTCTTATACAATTACTTATAGGTTCGATTCTTAAGGTCTTTTGCAGCTCTGCTAGCCCCATTGATCATTTAACTCGAGTGTTCTTTGCTAATTTTTTCATAAGTCTTAGTTTTCTGTTCTGCTCAATGGGCGAATTTTAATATAATTTTGCTTTTGTAAGATTATATTATACATATATTTGCTTTGTAAGATTATATTATACATATATTTGCTTTGTAAGATAAGACATTATCAGCTGAAGATTTAACACATTTTTAGATGTAACTTCCTTGGATTTTACTGTAAATTCGTAATTTTTAATATTACCTTTAAACGATTGCAAATTTTAAGAAGAATTGCTCTTTTTGAACTAAGGTTAAGGGATTTACTACCATTCTGAAAGAGAATTGTCTTTAAAACTTAATTTTAATGGAAGTAGTAATATGCAGACCTCTGAAAAACTCGACCGAATTCAAACAAAGGGTGAAACTCCTCAAAATCCTGTAAACTGAAAAAATCGCATGTTTAACTCGTTTTTAAGTTGGAGCAAAATTCATTCGAAATCGACCAGATTCTGCTCTTGCACTCTTCGTTTTTGTGTTTACGTGTTTTTTTCTCTACACGACCACACCCCCTTCTTTTCCCAGTTTTTTCTGATTTCACTCGTTCATTTACTTAAGTTCTGATGTAGACATTAAACACCTGATCTTCTCTAAAACATTTGAACTCATTCCTTGAATACTAAACTCACTTCCAGGAAGAGTAATATTTGAGCTTTTATTCCTTCAGCTAAAAAAGGTATACTTTTGTTACGGCCAAAATGTGCTTTGGACAAAATTCGTTTCAGGACATTTAGAGTCAATCGAGCGATCTCCGCGATAACTCCCTATCTGTGTGCACCAAACAAATTTCAACAACGAAAATCATTTGCTTTATAAAAAACAAAGGAGATATCCGAGATCAGCCTTAGGTTAGGTGGTACCACCCCCATAAAAGGCCACAATTTGAATAACGTAATTTATATAAAGATCTTGTGGGAATATGGGACTTATAAGCCCACTCCATCTCTCTATTAAGCTTAATGACAACGACAGCAGATTCTTTCAATCAATAAGGCAGCCGAGACGGCAAAAGAACTTGCAATAGCATAACAGGACCAGTTGATAGTCAGGTGGTCCTTAAATCACTCATTAAAACACGTGATTACATTAAGCTTTGTTGGGTTACAGGACAGGACATTCATCATGAGGTGGCTGATGAATTAGCTTGAGGACGTTCCCACTCGATTGGTCTACCGATTAATGAGACTTTTTAAGCATCATTAAGCTATCATGTCAGCTGCTTCAAAAAATCTCTTATCGAAGAAGATGGCCCAGTTATAGGTTATTTAAGGCCATCTGGCCGGTAATATCGAAAAGAGAGGAACAAGCTCCCTCCTATCACTTATTCTATTCTGTACCTTCAACTACTCTTGTTATTGTTAAAAATTCTTTTGTTATTGCAACACAAAACAGGTGATTTTTTCTTCAAATAAACCATGAGTAAAGCTTACTTCCTTGTAGCTGCGCATCTTTAAACCAAAATTAACCCAACCAAGCCCACTCTATCTGAAACCTCTCCTTTAAAGGGTTATCATTTTCAGCGATTTTCTCAAAACTGCGTGTATTGCAATATTTCTATCATCCATAGACCTAACCTGAATAGAGGACTTAATGGTCCACTTCTTCTGGTACCCACAGGGTGTCAAAATTTGAATAATTAAAATGGATTTGATATATATTTATCCACTATTTCTGATACCTTCTCCACAAAATATATTAGATTTAAAGGTAATCGATTGAATCAACTCGGCACGTCGTACCATGGTACAATAAGGAGGTAGAACAGCTTCGTAAAACTACATAAGTACGTCTCTAAGGCTATGCTCGCTTTCTGTCAAATTTCCATGCAACAAGTTGTTTTAATTTATTCATTTTTCCGCATTTTAAAAATCAGTTAAACAGCGGGAAAAATGAAAACACAGCGACAATCGTTTGCTCCATGTGTTGTTTTATAAGCCAACATGTTGTTACAGGATGACCCGAGGGTTTCAATCCTCGAAATAATGCCAGATCGTAGGCAGTACTGATATGGCAACAAAGGCCAAGGTTCAAAACATTTAATTTTAAGTTTTTTTTTTTTATAGAGCAGTGTTGGCATTTTTGTTCGGGATACCGTAGTATTTGGTTGTTGCAAAATAGTCAGGCTTAGTCCCATTATTGTTGTTTTTATAATTTTTTTTGTTGGGAAATTCTGAAACCGAAATTCTAGAGCCTAGAACCTAGATTTATAATATCAAATATTCTAATTTTATAATAATTTTTTTACTAAATTTTTGAAGATTATTTTTAATTGAAACGATTAGATTTTAACTATTTCAAATTATTTTTTTATAGTAATAAAAAAGTTGAACGTAATAAATATTATGAATTTACTGAATTTATAATTTTTCGGAGTTCTGCATCTTCTCTCTATGAAAACATACCCCGTAAATATTTCACCACTCTTTTTTGTCTGACAGCTGGTTCGTATATTTTTTTTACTTTCATTTTTCTTTATTTATTTTGGACTTATTTAAAATAAGTGAGGGTATATTATCAAATTTGTGCTGGGAGTTTTAAAAATTTTTCTGTTCTTTTCCCTTGACGTCTTGGAAGGAAGTTGTTTTTTATTCCTTATTTTAGAAATAATTCATATGTTTGGAATATAATTTAATATTTGATTTTTATTTTCGTAAAAAACCGATTATGGATTTTCAAACCATTTCTTGGTGCATTAACCCATTCTAAACCAATCTCACAAAGGCTTTGTACTTATTGAAATTTAAAATTGTATTCTCGGACAATTTATTGAGGCAGGATTTTTTTTGTAAAATAAAAAAGGAAAATGTCTTTGAAACCATTCACACTTATGAGTTTATAAACAAACAGTGCTCTGTTCCAGAATCTGCAAGAATCTACTAGTTATTTCTTCGATATCATAAAAGAAAAATCGTTTGCCCTGGTAAAAAGTTTTACATTCTTGCAGTTCTGGAACAGAGTACAGATCTCTCTACGTTTTTCTTTAGTGCTTGTCGTATAGTTTTTTTTTTTAATATTGAACCCTTTAATGAATTACTTATCGTTTTTGTTTTTTATGCATGTGTTTTAAATTTAAGTTCTTCATTGAATAAGATTTTATTAATAGATTTTGGGTTAATAATTTATTAATTTAAATATATTTTTTGATTGTGTTTAATAAAACCTAGTAGTGTACTCGATATTAATTAATGTTATTATAATTACAAATTGATTATTTATATTTATGCTACTCATAACTACTAATTTGTAATCACCTAATTACTTCCCTTAATCTCTTCCTCTTTAAGAATAAACTTAATATTAATGTGTCAAAATATTTTATTTTTTTTTGTGGAATTGAATTCTTAGCTGCAAAGAAAGATTTGACTTGGAGTAGATTTGCTTTCTTTATTATTATTATTTTTTTTTGATTTTGTTTAAATTAATAAAAAATATTTTATATTAAAAATATATTTTTTCTTATACAATAAATTATATTATTATAAATTAGAATCTAAAAAACCCCTAACAAAAAATCTTTTTGATCTTAAACTAAAAAAAAACTACTGGAAAATTAAAAGAAAAATTATAAACTTATATTAAGTATGCTCTAAGCATTTTGTGTCTATTGCCTTTATTTCTTATGTATGTTATTGAAAAAATTATATATATAATAAATATTTATATAAATCATAACAAAAACTTGATAAATTTGTGTTTGAATTTTTATTAAGAATTCTTATTTTTTTTATTAAAAATGAAATAAAAAATTGTTTCACAAAATTAAAAAGAAACATTTAATATTTGTTATTGATAATTAAAATATATAGGAAAATGATTAATAATTAATAAAAATTATTTTTGAAAATATATCTAGAGTTGAAAACGTGGAAAGAATTGTTCAAGGAATAAGAATTTTTCGAGAAAAAAATTTTGGAATATTTTCTAGCATTCATCAGAGATGGAAACATGGAAAGAAAAATGTTTCGAGGAATAAGAATTATTTTAGGTAAAAATTTTTGAATATTTTCCCAGATTCATCAAAGCTGGAAACTTAGATTTTAAAACAATAATATTTCAAGAAATAAGAGTTTTTCGAAGAAAAATTTTTGAACATTTTCCGAGTTTTATATGAGCTGGAAACGTGGAGTTTGGAAAATAAATATTTCAAGGAATAATAATTTTTTGAGGAAACATTTTGGAATATTTTAAGAGGTTCATCAGATCTGGAAACGTGGTAAAAAAATGGAATATTTTCCGAGGTTTATCAGAATTGGATTTTAAAAGGATAATATTTCAGGGAATAAACATTTTTTGAAGAAAAAAGTATATATTGGAATATTTTTCCAGGTTCATCAGAGCTGAAAACGTGGAAAGAATAATATTTCAAGGAATAAGAATGTTCTTGAGAAAATATTTGGAACATTTTCTGAGGTTCATCAGAGCTGGAAACGTGGGTTTTAAAAGAATAACATTTGAAGGATAAGCATTTTATGATGAAAAATTTTCCGAGTTTCATCAGAGCTGGAAATTTTTATTTTGGCAGATAAATATTTCAAGGAATAAGAATTCTTTTGGGGGAAAAAATTTGGAATATTTTGCGAGGTTCATCAGAATTGGAAATGTGGATTTTAAAAAAATAATATATCAAGAAAAAAGAATTTTTTGAGAGAAAAAAAATGGAATATTTTCCGAGGTTTATCCGATCTGGAAACGTGGATTTTAAAAGAATGATATTTCAATAAAACAATTTTTTTGAGAAACATTTTTTGGAATATTTTCGGAGGTCCATCTGCTGGAAACGTGAATTTTTAAGGAATAATATTTTAATGAATAAGAATTTTTTGAAAAAACTGAAAACGTGTGGAAAGAAAAATATTTCAATTCTTTTTTTTGAAAAAAAAAAAATGGGAATATTTCCCGACATTTATCAGAGATGGAAATGCGGAAAGAATAATACTTCAAGGAATAAGCATTTTGAAAACGTGGTTTTTAAAAGAAAAAGAATTTTTTTGGGAAAAAATTTTGGAGTATTTTCCGAGGTTCATCAGAGCTGAAAACGTGGATTTTTTAAGAATATTTTTAAGTGCATCACTAATTCGCCACTACCGAAATAAGCTGCTTTTTCAACTTGTTATACCTTTTACCATACGTAGTATGGAGGGTATATTGAGTTCGTCATTTCCGTTCTTGATCAGCGTAAAATTCCTGCCCTGTCCGTCCGCTAAAATTTTGCACAGTACCTCCCAAAATTCTGGATTTTAATGATAGTGGACACATTGTCTCAAAATCCACACAAGGAGTTCCTTCTGAGTATTTTACCCCCTAGAAAATAAATTGTCTATACAGGGTGAGATAAAAAAACTGCAACAAAGACAAACGCCATAATTTTTAAATTTTTTTAATTTTATTGAATGAAAGCAAAAAATGTCAGAAATAGCATCAAATTTTAGAAAAAGTTTAGATTTGTTCGAATCTGTTACCTTTGGCACGAATTATGGCCTTCCAACGGCCAATGAAACCGTCACACGCTGCCCGAATGTTGCTCTGCGGTATTTTGGCCCATTACCGGCGAAGCGCTTGCTTGAGGTGATCGACACTTTGGTATTTTTTAGTGCCAACCTTGCTTTCCAAAATACTCCAGACACAATAATCCAACGGATTGGTATCAGAAGATTTTGGTAGCCATTGTGCTCTGGAATTGAAGCGAGGAACCTCATTTTGTAACCATTCTTGGGTGGCGCGTGCTGAATGTGATGGTGCTGAGTCCTGTTGGAATGTCCAAAGTCTGCGACCAAAATGTTTGTGTGCCCAAGGCTTTAATACACCCTCCAAATATTTTCGCGATAATATCCGGCATTTATTCTGATGCCACGGGCGGTCCACACCATCACCATGACCGGCGCTTGAGTCCCGGTGGCCATCCAAAGGTGGACATTTTCAGCTGACCTCTTTGGCAAGTAAACACGATCTTTTTGTTTGTTTACAAACTGCTGGACAATGAATGTTTTCTTCTCGGAGAAAACCAAATTCGGCAGTTCACCACGTTCGGCCAAGCGAAGCAACTCTTTAGCTCTTTTGAGTCTGTTTTCTTTCAGTTGTGGTGTAAGTTCTTGCACTTTTTGGAATTTCAATGACTTTACCCCGAGCTCATTTTTCAATATTTGGCGAATGGGATATTGCGATATATTCAGCTCACGAGCCATTTTTCGACCACTGCGATCAAGTCGCTTCTTTACTTTTTGAACCATTTCTGCTGATGTTGCAGTTTTCTTCTGTCCACTTCCTTGACGTGGGCTACGCTACCAGTATCACGGTAACGAGCGATGGTACGAGACACAAAAGATGTATTCACATTTAAATGCTGGAGTGCTCTAACGATAGCCACTTGTGGTTTTCCAGCCAAATATAAAGAAATCACCCTATCACGCTTGAATTCCATCACGAATAAATTTTTTTCTGGAAAATTCTCACCAAAATGCTTTTGTACGCTTGTAAACAATATAATGAGCTGTCACTGGAATAATTTTAACAGCTGTCGGACAAGTGACTTAGAAATGACAGCAGTCTGAAGTTGGCTGCAGTTTTTTTATCTCCCTTATATTCTTGATCAGCTTAAAATTCGTGGCCTGTCCGTCTGTCAAGTTGGAAGATGGACTATATCGATCCACGATATAGTATAGCCCCATATAACGGTACCCACTGTTATTCGGTATTTTGACGATTTTAGCCACATTTTTCAATGGAATTGTCCAATATTCCACACAAGGAGTTTTTTTTTGAGTACTTTACTCCCTGGAATAGAATTGTCTATAAAGGTCCACAATATCTTATAGCCCTCATATTACGGTACCTCCCAATATTCGATATTTTGATGATTTTTAGCGACATTTTTGACCGGACTTGATTTAAATTTCGTATTTAAAGTTTGAAGCTCGTAATGAGTATTACAACCTATGACGGAAAATTGTCTATGGAGGTCAACGTCTTCGTATAGCCCACATATAACGGTACATCGGTATTTATTCGGCATTTTGATGATATTAGCGACATTATTCAACGGAATTGTTTCAAATTTCGTATTTGAAGTGCGGAATCGGTACTACAGCCTATGACAAAAATTTTGTTATGCAGGTCCGCATCTTTGTATAGGGTATTTTTTTCAAGATCCCTTAAAATGGCGGAGGGTATTAAACTTAGCTGCTTTTTTTACTTATTGTTCTTAGAGTTATTTTTGAAAATTCATTAAAAATTATAATTGAGATTATTTAAAAATGATATAGCTTCCGAAGTCTTATATTGGAGTCTTCTTTGAATTTTGTTTTATTTTTTTTTGTTTTTTATTTTAAAAAAATTAGAAATATTAGCGAAAAAATCAAACATTTCAAAATTTTTATGAATTTACATTCCATCACCACCTCCATCGGATGCCCCAGCTCCCAGCACCGATGATGAGGGTGCATTATCTTCGGTGCTATTTTTGGATTGCATTGAATAGCGACTTCCCAACGAGACTCGACTGCGACGTTTACGAACCGATTCCAAAGACTGCGAGCGTTTCTTTAGGGCAATTTCCTCCTCATTTATGGCCAGACAGAATTCAACAAAGGAACATAGCAAGGGATTTTGAAGCTTTTGGGCTACAGACAAGGCTTCCTCCAAGGCTTCTTTGCCACGTTCGATTTTGTGTAGGGCAGCATGGGCTTTAACAATCAGCATAATGCTTACAAAATGCCATATTATGCTATTGCAGATTTTCGATTCTGGAGGAGAGGAAAAAAGGACAACTTTAAGGACCAAAAAAATAAATAAAAAACTTCATTCACCCTCAATGGCTTTGCGTGCCCAGGAACAGCATTCATCAAAATGACTTTGCTTCAAATGGGCCCGGGCAATTTCGTGCAACAAATAACATTTCTCAATGGAGTATCGAGCAAATATCATGCGTTTTTCAAGGCGGGGTAGAAATTTCCTTTTGAAAAACATAATGAAATCAGATTTGAGGTTATATTTTGAAAAGTTAAGGTGAGGGTACATAAGCAGCTGGGCATATTAATGTAATATTATAATGTGAAACGACGGCCGGATTTGAGTGCGGCTCTGACATCCTTTTATGATATGTCAAAAAATATGCAATGCAAAGTCTTCAAGCTGCTTATGTACCTACACCTTTACTCTCTTACTTATACGCCACCAGACTATAGTCTACGGCATCCGGTTCCCGATACGTTGACTTATCGCCGAATACAAATTGCACAATATCCTTATATTTGTCTGTGGGCATGCGCAATAGCCTTAGTAGACGTTCCTTGCCATATGTTTCCAAAATGTCATCCATTAGAGTATAACCATCGGCGTGGGCCAAGGCCAGAATATTGTAGACCTCATTGATAAATTCAAATTTCCAAGGCATAACACGATGAGTTTTGAGAACCACATAATCTCCCATTACTTCCTCCACATATTTGGAGAGTTTCTGTAAGGAAATGAGTCATTGGAGAATTAGGTTAGGTCACTGTGTTTCTATGGCATTGGATGACGGAAACGGATTTATGGGAAGATTTAAATCTTGAAATTTTTAAGAATTATTTTTTTCGAGGTTGCCAGAGATGGAAATGTGAATTTTAAGAATATTTTTTTTTTCAAAACTGGAAAACGTGAATTTGTTAAGAATATTTTTAAAGACTATCAGAGTTGGGAACAAAGATTTTTAGGATATTCTTTAAGGTTTTATCTGAGCTGAAAATGTGGAAATTTAGTAATATTTTTCCAAAGATTATCAGAGATGGGAACGTATATTTTTTATGAAAAAAGTTATTGTTTAGAGTAGTAAAAACCTTTACAGGGTGAGATGAAAAAAATGCAACCAATTTCAGACTGCTGTCATTTCGAAGCCACTCGTCCGACAGCTGTTAGAATTATTCCAGCGACAGCTCATTATATTGTTTACAAGCGTATAAAAGCATTTTGGTGAGAATTTTTCAGAAATAAAATTATTCGTGATGGAATTCAAGCGTGATAGTGTGATTTCTTTATATTTGGCGGGAAAACCACAGGTGGCTATCGTTAGAGCACTTCAGCATTTAAATGTAAATAAATCTTTTGTGTCTCTTACCATCGCTTGTTACCTTGATACTGGTAGCGTAGCCCAACGTCAAGGAAGAGGATGGAAGAAAATAACAACATCAGCAGAAATAGTTCAAAAAGTAAAGAAGCGACTTTATCGAAACCGGCGTCGCAGTGGCCGAAAAATGGCTCGTGAGCTGAATATATCGCAATATTTTATTCGGCAAATATTGACAAATGAGCTCGGGGTAACGCCATTGAAATTCCAAAAAATGCAGGAGCTTACACCGCAACCGAAATAAAATAGACTCAAATGAGCTAAAGAGTTGCTTCGCTTGGCCGAAAGTGGTAAACTGCCGAATTTGGTTTTCTCCGATGAGAAAACATTCGTTGTCCAGCAGTTTGCAAACAAACAAAATGATCGTGTCAAATGATCTTGCCAAAGAGGTCACCAGAACTCAAGCATCGGCCATGGTGATGGTGTGGGGCGCCATAACAGCCGATGGTCGTTCTCTGCTCGTATTAATCTACCTTGGCATCCGAATAAATGCCGAATATTATCGCGAAAATATTCTGCAGGGTGTATTAAAGCCTTGGGCACGCAAACATTTTGGCCGCAGACCTTGGACATTCCAACAGGACGCAGCACGAGCCGCCCAAGAATGGTTAAAAAATGAGGTTCCTCGCTTCATTTCCAGCGTAAAATGGCCACCACAATCTCCTGGTACCAATCCGTTGGACTATTGTATCTGGAGTATTTTGGAAAGCAAGGTTGGCACTAAAAAATACCAAAGTATCGATCTCCTCAAGCAAGCGCTTCGCCGGGAATGGGCCAAAATACCGTAGAGCAACATTTGGGCAGCGAGTGACGGTTTCATTGGCCGTTTGTGCCAATTTGTGCCAAAGGTGGCCAATTTGAACAAATCTAAACTTATTCAAAAATTTGATGTTATTTCCGACAATTATTCTTTCATTCAATAAAATTTAAAAAAAAAAAATGTAAAAAATATGGCTTTTGGCTTTGTTGCAGTTTTTATACCCTACAACACTATGTGTTGGGGGTATTATAAGTTTGATTGGGCCAGAATTTATGTAACACCTCGAAATATTGGTTTCCCACATAGGAAAGTATATATGGATCTTCCTAGCTCGCCGAGCTGAGTCGATCTAGCTATGTATGTCCGTCCGTCCGTCTGTCCGTCTGTCCATGTTAATTTGTAATCACTCTACAGGTCGCAATTATGGTCCAACCTTCACGAAATTTAGAATGGAGGTGGGGTTAGGGTCAGAATAGAAGCCTATTTCTTTTGGAGGTGATCGCCAAATGTTTAGGGGTTGAAATGGACCAAATACTGAAAAAATATCGGATTTTGCAGTAGCTATACAGGTCGCAATTATAGACCAATCGACGCGGAATTTCGTATGTAGCTAGAGTTTAGGGCGGGGAAGAAGTCTACCAATTTCGGTGGCCATCGGATAACATTTAGCGGGTAAAATAGGCCATATCTCTTGTGTTGAAAAAATTCAATATTTTTCATTAAACCGCGAATATTTTAAATCCCGGCGAAATCACGAAGCCATGACAAGGTTACTTCTGACCTTTACATTGATGTTAACATCCAACAAACCGGATATATAGTAAAATATGTGCGATATATGTGTCTATCAATGAAGATATGCTTGAAAGATCTCTTATATGTCGAGAACGGCTGAACTGATTTCGACAGTTCTCATTAATTCAGAATGGTCTCTTGGCAGGAAACATAAAACGTCTAAAAAAATCGCATAAAAATATCTCTCTAAAGATGAAAATATTGATTTTGTAAAATTTTCTCATATTTTTTCAATTTTGTCATATTTTTGGCATATTTTCAGTTTGAATTAAACATTTGGTAATATTTCTACAGCTAACAAAACTAAGTAGTTAGGATATCAGGATATCATATACAGATCGCATTTATGGCCCGATCCTTACGAAATTTTGTATGGGTATAACATGAGGGTCAGAATAGAAGCCTATTTTTTTTGGAGATGATCGCAATATATCTAGGTGTTGAAATGGACCAAAAAACTGCAAAATTGTCAGCAGGTCGTAATTATCGCCCGATCCTCACGCACATTTGAATTGGGGTTACCGGACATTGCAAAAGCCAAGCAGTTTTGGATGGCCATCCAAAAATATTCAATGTGTGAAATAGTTTGCCAACTTTTGTAGACAAAATACGAAAATGACCATTCCAGTGACTTTTTGGAGAATTCACAAATACAGGAAAGACGCATTTCTGACTATTTCGTTAACGCTGATTTCTTTGAAGAATATAGTCAAATGGCTGTATCTCATATAGATGCGTTTCAGCCAAAAAGCAATAATAAATGTTAATCTTTTGCCACTTCTTAGAGATTATAGGTCTTTGGGAAATATTGGTTCTAGGAAGACCATTTACTTGCAACATCTACCAATAAATTGGAAATGAGCAAATTAGCTTAAGGTGCTATTATTCGAAAATTAGAGAACTAAACCTGATGGTTTTCTTTTATAATTTGTCACAATATCTTGTGGAATTCTTTCGAGTATCTCGCCTATATTAACAGTATCGTTTATTATAGTGTTGTAGGGTATTTAACGGTCGGCCCCGCTCGACTGTAGCCTTTGCTTACTTGTTTTTATCTCACCCTGTAAATTCTTGCAGTTCTGGAACAGACCCTATGTTTTGAAGGATCTGTTTCTGTTATATTGAGAAATATATGACGATAACAGAATTATGAAAAGATTTCGATTAGTTTGAAAAAGACTTTAGGTTGCGCTGAAATTGGCTGAAAAAATTAGAGTAGCCCAGACGGATTGGTATTTGAAATTGGCCCAAATTTAGATAACACTTTCATATAACGGTACATGATTGTATCTTCCGATATTTGGAATTTCAAGGTCTTAGCTACAATTATTTTTTGAAGATCTTTGACAATTTTTTCTATAATTACAGGATAACCCCAGTTGATTATAAAAGTGGAACTAACATGTAAAAAAGAAGCTAAGCCCGGGCCGAACTTTTAATACCCTCCACCATATTGAAGGATATTGAAATTTTTCAAAAAAACAAAATTGTGAAAAGTACCATTTAAATGAAAATCGTTATATATGGCCTATATGAAGACGTGGACATGCAGTTGTCCGTCATATGTTGTAGTACTCATTACGAACTCATTGACAGGTGACAGCTGACATTTCAAACTTTAAATACGAAATTTTGAAACAATTCCGGTCAAAAATGTCGCTAAAAAAAATCATCAAAATAGCGAATATCAGGGGGTACCGTTATATGGAGGCTATACGATATCTTGGACCTATATAGAGAATTCTCTTTCAGTGGGTAAAGTATTCAGAACGTGTTCCTTGTGAGGAATTTCAGACAATTCCATTGAAAAATGTTGTTAAAATAATCAAAATACCGAATATCGGGGGTACAGTTATATGAGGGCTATGTGATATCTTGGACCTACATAGACAATTCTTATTCAGGAGGTGTAGTGCTCAGAAGGTACTCCTTGTGTGGAATTTCAGACAATTCCATAGAAAAAATGTGGCTAAAATCATCAAAATACCGAATAAAGGGAGGTGCCGTCTAATGGGGGCTATACGAAGACGTGGACCTGCATGCGAAATTTGCAGGCATAGGCTGTAGTTCCCATTACAAACTTCGAATACGAAATTTAAAACCATTCGGGTAAATAATGTTGCTAAAATCATCAAAATACCGAATATCGGGAGGTATCGTTACATGGGGACTAAACGAAAATGTGGACCGACATGGCCCATTTACAAACCCAACCTGCCTACTGGTAAACTATGCATGTAATCAAAATGTTAGACATCGCTAAATCGTCTAAGAATTTTACGCTGATCCAGAATATATATACTTTGTGGGGTCTATCAGGAATATTTTGAGGAGTTACAGACGGAATGACAAAAGTAATATACCCTCTTTAGAATGGTGGAGGGTATAAAAAAAGTCATGACAAAAAAAAAACACTCACATCAATATCACCCTCCTCTCGCAGCCGGCGAATTGCTCTCAACTGAGAGAACATTGTTCGACGCGTTTGATATTGCACCCGATTTAAATGTTCCTCTTTTCGCTTTGCCCCAATACGTTTATTGGGACACTTTCGCCACTGTTCCGTGTAGAGAGGACTACGAGCCTGTAACATTTTCAAGAATTTCCTCAACACATCGTATTTCGTGTTGCAAAGATCACGCAGGAATGGCGTTGAGACTTTCGACTGGGCCCAGAGGAGATTTTTGTTCTCGCGCAGCTGCTTCAAAAATAAGACATCAATCCAACTTTTATTGAAATAGATTTGATTGAAAACTTTGAAGGCGCGATGACGACGCGCCAGTTCGCGGGGTGACAGTAAAATTTCCTGTTAGGCAAAATGGAAAATTATGGAAAGCCCTTTGAAGTTTTGTTTGCTGAACTAACCTCCTTTTCCAATATACTCAGGACATCACATTTGTCATCTTCTTTGAGGCGTTTCCATAGGGGCCGAGTATCGACATGCTGTGAACGTTTGAAAGCCTCCAGGACATCATCGAAATGTTTGCCATTTTTTATTATAAAAGGACCCAATGTGTCGCCAAGGGTATCTTTGAAGTTCTCATCGACCTGTAAGGTGTTAAAAGTGCAATTCACTACATCCTCAGTCCATAAAGATATGATAATGTCATATCTGTTGGAAATTTTCAATCCACATCACCGAAATCAATACGTACCACAACCAGTCGGTTTAGAAATGCCGTAACTTTTTTATTGCAATACTTCCGGGTATTATCGTGCAATTCCACTTTGCAATTTTCAAATTGATTTAGTTCATATAGCGCATCGCAGATCTCCAAGTTTAAGGGGGCATTATAATCATCGAGAGCTACAATAAGCAGAAAATTTTATTCGAATAGGCAAGCTTTTGCTCAGCAAGAGGTAGGCTGTTGCTCAGCAAGAGGTAACCTACATCTAGTCCTTTTTTAAGTACAAAAAGAATTATTGTTATTACCCGACGCCGCCCTTCCATCATCCAATGCTCCCTCGGTTTGGGCAATGTTGCGCTTGCAACGACTTCGAAAATACAAAGCCTTGGGATCATCAGCTTGCAGATCGAGCGACTTGTTGTAATAATGTACTGCCTTGTCCAATTGTTGTTTATGCGTATAGAACAGGCCCCAATCACGATATATTACCTGCTCCTGTTCCGGCGTCCAGGCAATGCGTTCCCAGGGTTGTAAAGCTGGCTCGACCATATTTTTGAAGACCCGAAATTCAAAAAATTAAAAAAACTAATTGAAATTAAATTAGGAAAAAAAATATATTAAAAATATTTTTTGTCTGAATTTGAGTAACAACTTTTTGTGTTTTTCAAAAATATTTCAAATATTAGAGTGTCTCAATCGAAAAACACTTGGATCTTATCAAGATGGAGGACATTTTCGAGTATATGAGGAGGAGAGAGAGTGGGGAATTGGCTCTTCATCTTTGCTCTCTCCTAATTACTCAAAAATGTCTCATGAAAAGTTTCCTAAATTTCCTTGTTTTTACCAACTTTTGGTATCATAAAAAATAAAAAAAAATATAGTTGGAGGAATACTTTAACAAGGAGTTCCTAAAAAAGTAGACTTTACCAAAAATCGTTGTTATACCCTCCACCTTAGAAAGGAGGGTATATTAACTTTGTCATTCCGTTTGTAACATCCTTAAATATTCGTCGTATAGTATATATATATTCATAATCAGCATAAAATTCTAAGTCGATTTAACGATGTCCGTGTGTCTGTTGAAATCACGATACAGCCCACATTATTTGACGTAGAGCGCCAAAATTTAGCATAGAAATGTGTAGTGTGTCTAGGATGGTTGGTATTGAAAATGAGATATATGGGTTCACGTTCTGGTATAGTCCCCATATATTCGGTATTTTGATGATTTATGCCACATTTTTTCACGGATTGGTCTGGAAATTGGTATTTGTAGGTCATGACGGGTCCCAGTTCGTGTGGCGAAACATTGCATGTATGGGTCCACGATTTGGTATAGCCGCCATATAACGTACCTCCCGATATTCGGCATTTTGATGGTTTTTGGCACATTTTTTTCACGGATTTGTCTAAAAATTGGTATTTATAGGTCATAATAGGTCCTAGTTCATGTGGCGAAACATTGCATGTAAAGGTCCACGATTTGGTATAGCTCCATATAACGTACCTCCCGATATTCGGCATTTTAATGGTTTTTGCCACATTTCTTCGCAGATTTGTATTGGTATTTGTTGGTCTAGCTCTTTGGCGAAACACTGTATGTATAGGTCCAAGTTTTTGTATAGCCTCATATAGCCGTATTTCCCGATATTCGGAATTTTGATGATTTTTGGCACATTTTCATATAAATATGTCTAAAAATTGGTATAAGTGGGTCATAATGGGCTCTAATGTTTCCTTTACGCTAAGGTGGAGGGTATTAAAAGTTTGGGCCGGCCGAACTTAATGTTTTTTACTTGTTTTTTTTTAATATATTTTAAAGGATCTTCTGACAAAAAGATCAGTGATATCCAAGAATACTTTAATAAGGTCTTCCCGAACAAAAGTTGTGGATTGTTTAAGAATTTTCTATAAGACCTTCTGACCAAATTTCTTTGATTTTTGAGAATATAATTAGGAATCATTTTGATTAGAAATCATAGATTTTTAAGAATCTTTATACCCTACACCAAATAGTGGTAAGGGCATTACGCCTTTGTGCATTTGATTGCAACATGGAGTAGGAAGCCAGATCGACCCATAGTTACATTTAAGGAAATTCATAGAATTACTTTCCGAGTCGATGTATGCATAAAATGCTGGTCGCATTTATTATCCGATTAAGGTGATATTTTGCAAACAATATTTGTTTGGCCTAAGGACGAACCATATTGAAATTGGCGAGAATCGGTTCAAGTTAGATATAGCTCCCATATATAACTTCAATCGATTTCGAGTTAATTGTGCACCAAATGACCAATATCAGTCCAAAAGTCCAGAATTTTGGCACATCCGCCCGCATTCAAAATCAAAGCAAGTGCATCGTATTCGGAGAAAATCGGTTTGGATATAGCTATAGCTTCCATATATATGTTTCATCTGATTTGATGTTTAAGTGCCTCACATTCGTAATATGCATTCGACAACAATTATGCCATGGTACCAGATATCTTATAAAGCTCCGAAATAACTTTGCCAAATTTTCTTGAACGGCTAAGATGTGGATATAGCTCCCATATATATCTTCAACCGATTTTGGGTTAATTGTGCACCAAATGGCCAATTGGTCCAAATGACCTGCACGTCCCATCGAATTCAGTTTAGAAGTAAGTACATCCCATATATATGTTTCATCCGATTTGGTGTTTAGGTGCCTCACATTCGTGATATGCTCTCCACAAGAATGATATTTGGTACAAGATAACCGATGCATCCTAGAAAGACCTCTGCCAAATTATATCAAGATAGGTTCAGATTTGGATATATATCCTCAACCCATTTCGGATTAATTGTGCACTAAATAACCAATATAAGTTTAAATGACCTACAATTTGGCACATCGGACCGAATTCAGTCTAGAAGCAAGTACATCAAATTTGGTACCAGATATCAGATACAGCCCAGAAATACCTCTGCCAAATGTTGTCAATATCGGTTCAGATTTGGATATAGCTCCCATATAAATCTTCAACCGTTTTCGGGTTATTTGTCCACCAAATGGCCAATATCTGTCCAAAAGTTTTGCTACATCCGACCGTATTCAGCCTAGAAGCAAGTAAATCAAATTTGGAGAAAATCGGTTCAGATATAGTTATAGCTCCCGTTCCGATCATTTGATTTGGTGTTTAAGTCCCTCACATTCGTAATATGCATACTACAACAATAATATTTTGTACCAGATATCTGAAAGAGCTCGGAAATACCTTTGCCAAATTTTTTCTTGAACGGCTAAGATTTCGATATAGCTTACATATACAGGGTGAGATGAAAAAACTGTAACCGACTTCAGACTGCTCTCATTTCCAAGCCACTCGTCCGACAGCTGTTAAAAGTATTCCAGTGACAGCTCATTATATTGTCTACAAGCGTACAAAAGCATTTTGGTGAGAATTTTCCAGAAAAAAATTATTTGTGATGGAATTCAAGCGTGATAGTGTGATTTCTTTATATTTGGCTGGAATACCAGAAGTAGCTATCGTTAGAGCACTCCAGCATTTAAATGTGACTAAATCTTTTGTGTATCGTACCATCGCTCGTTACCGTGATACTGGTAGCATAGCCCGATGTCAAGGAAGTGGACGGAAGAAAACATCAACCTCAGCAGAAATGGTTCGAAAAGTAAAGAAGCGACTTGATCGAAACCCGCGTCATAGTGGCCGAAAAATTGTTCGTGAGCTGAACATTCGCAATATTCAATTCGGCAAATATTGATACATGAGCTCGGCGAAAAGCCATTGAAATTCCAAAAAGTGCAAGAACTTACACAGAAGAAAGAAAATAGGCTCAAAAGAGCTAAAGAGTTGCTTCGCTTGGTGGTGAACGTGGTGAACTGCCGAATTTGGTTTTCTCCGATGAGAAAACATTTGTTGTCCCGCAGTTTGTAAACAAACAAAATGATCGTGTTTACTTGTCAAAGAGGTCAGATGAAAATGTGCACCTTCGGTTGACCACCAGAACTCAAGCGCCGGCCATGAGATGATGATGGTGTGGGCCGCCATAACAGCCGATGGTCGCCCTCCGCTCGTATTAATCGACCGTGGCATCAGAATAAATGCTGCATATTATCGCGAAAATATTCTGGAGGGTGTATTAAAGCCTTGGTCACGCAAATATTTTGGCCGCAAACCTTGGACATTCCAACAGGACTCAGCACGCTCCACCCAAGAATGGTTACAAAATTAGGTTCCTCCCTTCATTTCCAGCTCACAATGGCCACCAAAATCTCCGGATACCAATCCGTTGGACTATTGTGTCTGGAGTATTTTGGAATGCAAGGTTGGTCCTAAAAAATACCAAAGTGTCGATCACTCATAGGTGACCAATTCGAACAAATCTAAATTTATTCTAAAATTTGATGCTATATCCGACATTTTTTAGCTTTCATTCAACAAAATTAAAAAAAAAAATGCAAAAATTATGGCGTTTGAATTTGTTCCAGTTTCTTTATCTCACCCTGTATATCCTTAATCCGATTTCAGATTTATTATGCAAATAATGGCTAATATCACCCCAAATGGAGTGAATTTGAGTATTAACGCTTAATGGGGTCAAGGCTTCTGCATATAGACTACCTTCTAGGTCTTCTGTTGATACACAATTTTCCAGAGTTATTCTCCAAATGGAAAAAACTTTATATACTCATCTTTTTACGGGCCTTCTGTAGATTTCATAATTTACCACAGTATTCTGGTGAAATTTAAAATAGCGTTTGTTTTATTTCAATTCGATTTTCTTTATTAATTAATAACTTTTTCTTTGCATTTTTTTTGTTCTTACAGTGATTTCTTAAATCTTTATTAATTGTTAAATTTTTTATTTTATATAATGCCTTTCAAATTGTTTTATGGAAGGAATGATTCAAAAATTGTTGTTGTTTTTTCTTTCTATAATTTGTAACTTATTTCATAATAATAGTAATAATAATAATTTTCTTATTAAAAACATTTTTTTCTGTTAATAAGAAATAAATTAATGAGAAATATTTCAACTATGATTATGTTAATTTGTTAAGTGTGATTGTGTGTGTGTGTGTGAGTGAGTGTCAGAGTGTCGTGTGGGTGTGTGAGTGTTGTATGGTGTAGTTTTATTTTATTGTGTTAGTTAGTATCACTACAAATTAATAAGTATCCTAATCTATAGGGTTTTTTTTTGTCAATAATTTCAAGAGAAAACAGTTAAACTTAAATTTTACAAAATTATAGAATGTCTCTTCTCTAATACTAAGGAAACAAACAGTTAAGTGGGGGAAGGGTGTCTTAAGGTGTTAATTGGTTGGTTGGTTGGTTGGTAATTAAAGCTTTGTATGTTTAACAGTATCGGTCCAGTAGTTCTGTATTGTCATGGCCTCCAATGAATTCAAAAACGAATCATTATCCAAGCTATACATTTCATCGGAATTATCCTGAAAGTAAAGAGAAAGAGAATTTTTTGCATATCGAATATGAGAATATTGATTGCTTTTGAGGTACTCACACTAACACGCATCGTGCTATCGTCGATATAAACACTGGAGTCCGGCTCACTTAATGCCTGTGGCTTATTTAAGAATCGACGACGATATAAAACTATGCCTATGGTACCCACTGTACAGCAGATACCGAATACTGTAAAACAGATTGCTGATATTGCACCGACATCCATAAAATAGGCGCGCTGTAATGAGAAGAAGAAGAAAAAACGAACAATGAGATGATATAAGGGTCATGGAAAAGGGGGCAATGGAAAAAGTTCTACTTTGGAGACTGTAGACAACTTTTGGAAGGGTTTCTGTCGACAGAATCCCCATTTTCGGTTTTTTTAAGACATGTTACTTATTTTTTTTGTCCATGGAAAACCTTTAATAAGTCTTTTGCCTGAAGAAGTCCTTAAGAAATATTCTGGCTATTGAGGACCATTTAAAGGGTCTTCAAAAGATCTCCTGTCTATGGAAGAACTTCAAAAGATTTCCTGTCTATAGATGACCTCCTAAAGGTCTTCTGCCTAAAAAAGACCTCCTGAACCTTATAGGAGACCTTTTTAAATGGACTTCAAAAGGATCTCCTAAAGGTGTTTGTCTATCAGAAACCTGGAAATAAAGGACCTCAAGAGACATTCCCTCTATTCAAGATTTTCGAATCCAAATTAGGTATTTTCCCGAAGTTCTTCTATCTATAGAGGATCAGTAAAATATCTTCTGTCTATAGGATATCTTCAAAGGTTCTTCTGGCTATAGAAGAACTTCAGAACGTCTTCAATCTGCAAAATATCTTCAAAAGGTCTTCTGCTGATACAAGACCTTTAAAGGGTATCCTGTCTATGGAAGATTTTTAAAAGGCGCTCTTTTATAAAAGACTTTAAAAATTTCTTCTCTTTACAGAAGATAAGGTTCATAAGCTTTTTCGCCTACAGAAGACAATCAAAGCATCTTTTTTCAATAGAAGACTTTTAGGAGACCTTGGTCTATGGAAGACTTCGAAAAAGGCTTCTCTTTATAGGAGGCCTTCTAGCTTCAAAATATCTTCAACAGATCTCATGTTTATAGAAGACCTTTTCAAAAGGACTTCAAAAGGACCTCTAAATGGTGTCTTTCTATAAAAGTCCTGATAATATAGGACCTTCCAAAGACGTTCCCTCTGTTGAAGATTTTCGAAATCGAATCTGGAATTCTTCAAAAGTTCGTCTATCGTACCTTGGTCTATGGAAAACTTTGAAAAAGTCTTCGCTTTTTAAAGGAGACCTCCAAAAGGTCTTCTAGCTTCAAAATACGTTCAACAGATCTCATATTTTTAGAAGACCTTTTCAAAAGGAAGATTTTCGAAATCGAATCTGGAATTCTTCAAAAGTTCTTCTATCTATAGAGGACCAGTAAAATAGTTTCTGTCTTCAAAAATTCTCCCGTCTAAAGAAGACATTTTAAACGCCTTCTCTATACAGAAGAACTTCAGAGGGTCTTCCATCTGTAAAATATCTTTGAAAGGTCTATGGAAGGCATTCAAAATATATAAGAAATCTGTAGAAGATCCTCAAAAAGATTTTTATGTTCATAAGACAATCCAAGCACCTTCTTTCCATAGAAGACTTTTAGACCCTTTGTCTATGGAAGACTTCCTAAATGTCTTCTTTTTATAGGAGACCTCCAAAAGGTTTTACACCTTCAGAAGAACTTCATCAGATCTCCTGTTTGTAGAAGTTTTTTTTCGAAAGGATTTCAAAGGGACCACTAAATGGTGTCTTTCTACAAAAGACCTGTCAATAGAGAACATTCCAAAGGCGTTCCCTCTTTTAAAGATCATCGAATCAGGAACTCTTCAAAAATTATTCTATCTATAGAGGATCATTAAAATAGCTTCTGTCCATAGGGGATCTTAAAAAACTCTCTCGTCTTAATAGAGTTTTTGAACGATTTTCATTGTATGTCTCAATCGAGCGAAATTTTGTTCTGCAAAAAATATTCCCCGGACTTATACCCAACGGAATATATCTAAAATGTATTGTTTCCAAGCATTCTTAACTTGAATATTTTCAATAATATAAAAAAAATGAGCGGATGTGTTCCGCCCCATTTTGATTAATTCCGATTGTCAAAAAAATTTCAAAATGCCGATACTTGTGTCTCATATTTTTTGGCTTTACTTTCATAATCTAGTGAGTTTTTCCCGAATATTTGAAAAAATGAAATTTGAAGATCCTATGTGGACGAAAGAGCTTCTGAACGTTCACAGTAAACATTATGAAGATCCCTGAAGTTGGAAGGACATTTTGAAGGGTTTCCATGTTCGTAAAAAACATTTGAAGAGCTCCTTTTGATAGAAGAACTTTTAAGGATCTTCTGTAAGGAGAAGACCCTTTGAAGGTCCTTACACACAGAGGACCTTAAAAAAGCCCATGGAAGTCCTTTAAAAAAAAACCTTATCTATATATCTTCCCACAGAAAACCTTTTCCCCTATTCCTCCACTCACCTGCACCGACAACGCTTCCGACGAGATATTACTCTCCTCACTGTCATAATCATTGACAGTGGTTGATGCCGAACGGGTCAGCAGATTTTTCGATTCTGGTGAATAATTTATATAACCGGGCGGCTTATAATCGGCCGACAGGCCCTTCGATTGTCGGCGTCGCGGTTCGTTTTCATCGCGACGCAAATCCTCGGATTTGTGAACATTTTCCAGGGTAAAGGGAAATTTGTCATCGCTAACATCGGTGGTGGTTACACTTAACGGTGGCGGTGATACGGCAGCAACAGCATCATCGATGCTCCTTAGCCAATCTGTGGGCCGGCTTATCTTGGGTGTTCCGGGTGGCAGCTGTGTAACATTCTGGGTTGTTAGAACCGATAGGGAATTTATCGATGTTGCCAAAATTGAGGCGGAGGCCATTAAAATATTGGCTTTTAGGCTATTTGATGTCAGCGAGGAGGGGGAGGAGGAGGGATTTGAAAAGTTTTGTTGTTGTTGTGACATTGTGTTGTTGGAACCACCTGTCGCCAGGGGATCTGTGAAATTTGTGTAATTGTTATTGCTGGGCGTAATATGGGAGGATGTGTTGTTGTTGTCATTGTTGGTTGTGGGAGTACTGGTCACCATAGTTGACAGGGTTGCCGTGTTCAAGTTCTCCATATCATTTCGGCTTAAATCCTCTGCCGATCTTTTGATATCACTTTGCTTCTCTTGTTTCGAAAAACTTTGTTGTTGCTCTTCCTGTTCTTCCTCCACATCTTCCAGTTTTAGGGGCTTGATTTTATCTGCCTCTTCGGCATTAATGTCATATTCATCATAATAGTAATAGGGATCTTCGAAACCATCTGCAAGCTTTTTGTTGTTGTTGTTGTTGTCGTTGCTGTTTCCAGTAATCTCTGTTTCGTGCATTAAAGGTGTGGTATTTAAAGGTTGCACTGTTGTGGCACTAACACTTTGTAATCGGGTCTTTTCCCTATCATAGGGGGTGCTCCTGGCCATGGGGCTATTTGTTGAGGAATCACCAGCATACCAGGTCAGGGTAGTTGAGGCCTGATAAAGTTTGGTAACCATTTTCTTTTCCGACTCATGTTGATTACGTTCCAGCGAACCATCCAAACTTGGATAGGAGTGTACAACCATAATGTGGGGCATAAAGAGATCTGAGGGGGGAAGATAGAGAAAAGTGAGAATCTTAAATAGAGATTATTATTGGCTTCATACTCACTACAAATCAATGTTATCCAGAACCAATGGGACCACCAATAGAAGGTCATGATGTACACCGTGAGATGTTGATATTGTTAATGGAGTGAAGAAACTGCAAAGAAAGGGAAACAACAACAACAAAGACATGAGTAAAACAAAAAATAAAAATGTATACAAAATTATTTACAGAAATGACTCACTTCCAACCACACCACATCAAAAACGAGTATAAAAGAACCTAAGTTTGGCCGGGCCGAAGTTTTAATACCTTTCATTATTTTGAAGCAACTTGAAAAAATTCCAAAAAAAAATCCGTCGAAAAAGACCGCTCAAAGAAAACCCGTTATATGAGAGCTATACGAAGACATGGACCTACACAGAAAATTTTCCGTCATAGATTGAAGTATCCATTACGAGGTTCAAATACGAAATTTGAAACAATTCCGCTGAATAATATGCCCTGAAATCATCAAAATACCAAATATAGGTAGGTATCGTCATATGGGGGCTATAGGAAGACGTGGACCTGCATATGAGAGTTTTTGTTATAGGATGTAGTACCCGTTACGATTTTTAAATACGAAATTTGAAACAATTCCGGTTCAAAATTTCGCTAAAATCATCAAAATACCGTATATTGGGAGGTATTGTTATATAAGAGGATTTAAGAAGACGTGGACCTGCCTGTGCGATTTTTTGTCATAGACTGTAGTATTCACTTTAATTACGAAATTTGGAAAAAAAAAATCCGTTAAAAAATGTCGCTAAAATCAATAAAATACCGAATATCTGGGGGTACCGTTATATGGGGGCTATATAAAGACGTGGACCTGCATACACAAATTTTTTTCCATAGGTTGTAGTACCCATTACGAATTTTGAATACGAAATTTGAAACAATTCCGATAAAAAAAAAAATCCCTAAAATCATCAAAATACCGAATATCGGGGGACATCGTTATATGGGGGCTATACGATATCTTGAACCTGTATAGACAATTCTCATTCAGGGAGTAAAAGACTCAGAGAGAACAACTTGTGTGAATTTTCAAATAATTCCATTGAAAAATTTCGCTAAAATCAACAAAATACCGAATATCTGGAGGTATCGTTAAATGGGGGATATAAGATATCGTAGACCCATATATGGACAATTCTCTTTCAGGAGGTAGAGTACTCACAATGTTCTCCTTGTGTAGAATTGTACACAATTTCATTGAAAGATGTGGCTAAAATCATAAAAATACCGAATATCGGTGGTACCGTTATATGGGGGCTATGGACCGATGGCAGACGAAAGACGGATTGAGCTGTGCAAAATTTTAGCTTCCTATCCTAATTATACCCTCAGCAATATGGCTACCGGGGGTACATATCATTTGATACGGCCAAAACGTGCCTCATCGAAATAATGGTTTTAGACCCTAGGTATCTTTGGACCAAATCCGTTTCAGGACAATTGCAGTCGATCTAGCGATGTCTCTCCTCCTGTCTGTCTGTCTGGCTGGTGGGCACAATAACTCTCGAAGAGAGTATCCGATTTGATCCCAACTTAGTACATCGTAATATTATTATCAAACTTAGATCGAGTTCGGAGATGGGCAATATCAGAGTCCACTCCTTCTGGTACCTCCCCCACAAAATGTCAAAATTTTCAAAGAAAATAATTTTCTGCACAGAAAGTGAAAGGATAATCCGATTTTGCTCCAAATCATAACTTTGCAAATCATAATATTTGCATCAGTGCTAGGTCAGGTGCGAAAATGGTCAATATCGGTGCACTCCGTCAAGTACCTCCCCCACAAAGAGTCAAAATTTCGAATAATTATAACTCTTATAAAATGTGATGTAAGTGTCCGATTGTCTTCAAATTACACATATCACCATATTTTTATTAGCCCAAGGTCTGGTGTGAAGATGGAATATATCAGTCTACTCTTTCTGGTACCTCCCCCACAAAGGGTCAAAATTTTAAATAACAATGAAGCTCATATAACACGAAATTAACATCTGATTCCAGTCAGACTTGGCACATCTTAATGTTTCCATAAACACAAGATCTGTTATAAATATGGAAGAGATCGGACCATTCCTTCTAGTACCTCCCTTATAGGGGGTCAAAGTTTTGAATAACAAAACCGATCATAAAATCCGAAATAAGCATCCAGTTCTCTTCAAATGACACACATCACATTATTTTTATTAATCCAAGGCCTAGTGTGAAGGTGGAATATATCGTTCCATTCCTTCTGGTACCTCCCCCAGAAATGGTCAAAATTTTGATCATCCATGAATCTTATAAAACGGGAAATTAACATCCGATTGCATTCAGACTTGGCACATCTTAATGTTTCTATAAACACAAGATCTGTTATAAATATGGAAGAGATCGGACCATTCCTTCTGGTACCTCCCCCATAGAGGGTCAAAGTTTTGAATAACAAAAACTAACATAAAATCCAAAATAAGCACCCGGTTCACTTCAAATTATACACATCCCATTATTTTTATTAACCCAAGGTCTTATGTGAATATGAAATATATCAGTCCACTTCTTCTGGTACCTCCCCTACAAACGCTGAACGTTTTGAATAACCATGCAGCTCATAAAACACGAAACTAACATCTGGTACCATTCAGACTTGGCACATCGCATTATTTCTATTAACACACAATTTGTTACAAAGATGGTTGAGATCGGACCATTCCTTCTGGTACCTCCCCCATAGAGGGTCAAAGTTTTGAATAACAAAAACTAACATAAAATCCAAAATAAGCACCCGGTTCACTTCAAATTATACACATCCCATTATTTTTATTAATTTAAGGTATGGTGTGAAGATGGAATACATAGGTTCACTCCTTCAGGTACCTCACCCACAAAGGGTCAACCTTTTGAATATCCGTGAAGCTCATATAACACGAAATTAACATTCGATTCCATTCAGACTTGGCACATCGCAATATTTCTATCAACACAAGATCTGTTATTAAGATGATAGAGATCGTACAATTTCTTCTGGTACCTCCCCCACATAGGGTTCAAAATTGTGAAAAACAAAACTCTCAAAGATAGAAAAATAAGTATCCCACTCTTTTCAAATTTTTTACATCCAAATATTTTTGCTAACGCAAGATGTTTTGTGAAGATGATATATATCTGCCAACCCCTTCTGGTACCTCACCCATAAAGGTTTACAATTTCCAATACTTATATGTCATATATGTCATAACTTGGTCAGATACGAATTGGTAAATATTGGCCAACTGCTTCGGAACCTCCCCCATAAAGGTTCAACAGTTTAAATAATCGTAACATAAGACTGGGGTATACATCTGTCGGTAAAACCGACTGATACTATTTTACTTGTTCGTTTTAATTCTATCGTGATTACAACAGACGGATGGACGGAAGGAGGGACAGGGTTATTTCGTCTTATAATTTTACGCTGATCAAGAATATATATATACTTTGTTATGTCTAAAATTATTATTTCGATGAGTTACAAACGGAATTATGAACTTAATATACCCTCCATACCATGTATTGTGGAGGGTATAAATGCAGGGGGTTATTTCCGAACGACTCATACGGGAAAAATTGCATCACCAGCCAGCCAGTCAGTGTGTCTGTCAATTACCGATGATTGTTTGAAACGTGTCTTATAAATAAATTTAACTTAAGTTAGGTATTTTTGAATTGCAATGACTTAATCAGCACCAACACCACCACCGCAACAATGATTCTCATTGCGATGATCATTGACATTAACACACCCATAGCCAGCCTACCCAGCAATCATCAACACCTAATAATGCCAACGAACATGTATACACTGGGTTGGCAGCCGCTGGCCGAAACTGGAGTGTTGTTGTTTCGGGTCAATCCGGTGTCGTAGAACCCGCTGCCGTGGGATAGCTATGCGGCTCCAGTGTGGTCGGCGAATACAAGTGCAACGCAGTGGAAATGTATTCAGACCTGCCAGAATGCCGCCCTGAGAACTGCAACAGGGTGCCTCCTCATGACACCTGTGGACCACTTACATGAGGAGACGAAGGTTCTTCCCTTACGTCAGCATAATCATATGCTTTCGTTGCAGTACCTGCTTGGGTGTTATCGTGGGAGTCACCCTAACCACCATATGGTGGATAGAACTCCTCCACCCAGGCGTGTCAGGAAGGACCTGCACGATCTAGAGAGAGAGGTCCAGCGATATAAGAGAGAGCCTCTAGATCATGAAGCCTATCAAGCGGGTCTGAATAGCATTCATACTGATGCAGTCACAGATGTAGTTAATAATTACGGTATGAATGCCATACTCGGAGTCCACCCCCCATCCATTGCAGCTGAAGAACGTCGGCTGCCTAGGCAAACCAGAGTAGTTTTGGCCCAACTACGTTCAGGATGGTGCAGCCGCCTCAATTCGTATTGGGCACGAATTGATGAGGATGTGCGGAACGCCTGCCCAGCGTGCGATACAGGCCCGCACAACACGCTGCACTTGTTTAATTGTCCTGCCAAACCTACCCAACTCCGTCCAGAGGATCTATGGCTACAGCCCATAAAGGTAGCAGAATTCCTAAACCTGGACATTGAGGAAGAACCAGATTAGTCGGAAAAAACAACAGAACGTGTAAAACTGCTACAACAACAACAACAATAATGCCAACGGCCGGGGAACACTCTCAGTCGCATTTAAACATTCCAAGCGCGGGAGAAACGCTTGATGTAGTCACCTTAAAACGCCTCATGGTTGGGTTATAAAAATAATCTTCCAACAGGTAAGAAGAAAAATACAACAAAACAAATGGACAAAAAATACAACAGCATTATGGGTAACAATGTGTCATTAAGCGGTGCTTCGTTTCAATGGGTTTTGGGGTCAAAGGTTGTTGTGGGTTATGCTTTTTGATAAGATCCTTGGATAAATCTGGTAAAAAAACAATGTTTGTAAAAAATCCATGACTTGGTCGGAATTTTGGTCAAATTATCGAAAAATATTTTATAACAAGTTAAAAAGTATTGGTCGGTTTTCCAGAAAGATGTATACCCTCAGCCAAGCCATGTTAATAAAAGACTAATTGACTGACTAACGATTCATCAACGCGCAG